ATATAATTACACATATATGCATACAATATAAAGGGGATGGAAAAAAAAAAAAAAATTCATATCATGCTATGCCAAAATATACATAAGGCAAATACATATTAAAATGATCTCATATTTAAAAAATATATTAAATAAAATTTCAGCATTCCTTTACTTGGTGTGTATGCATGTGTTTTTGTAAAAAATACTATCTGTTCCTATGTAATAGATAAAATATACAAACACACAAAAAAAAATATATATATATATATATATATATTATATTTTTTGTTAAACTTGTATGTGTGTGTGTGTATTTATAAATACATACATATAAAATATATATACAGTAAGTATATATATATATACATATATATACACTTATACTGTATATATGTAATATATGTATGTATGTATAAATAATGAACATCACACATACAAATATAACAAACAAATATATATATATACAAACAACAAACAAACACAAACAAAAAATAAAAATAAAATAAATATATATAAAAAAAATACATACTGTATATATATAGATATAGATATGTGTGTGTGTCTATATTTATTTATACACACACATAAAAATATATATATATATATATATATATATATATATGTACACACATATAATATATACACATACACACACATATATATTATACTATATATATGTACTTATGATATAGATAGATATATAGAGAGAGGGAGAGAGATAGTATTTTATATATAGATATATATATATAAAAAGTGAGATAGTATTTTAAAAAAAAATATATATATATATATAAATATATATATATATATATTAGAAGATAGATTTTTATTAGGAGATATATATATATAAGTAATATAATATATATACCCCAGGCTGCTGGCTTTCTGCCTGTTTAACCCAAAGCAAGTGACACTGGCCTCTCCAGAGCTGAGATAGCCATCAATAATTTATAGAGATGGCTTCTGCCCTTCCAGCACTTCATTCATGCAATCTACCCCAAGCTCACTGGTAAGATAAGAAACCCCCAATCACAACCCCCCACCAACCATCACTGTCAGGTGCACTGCCCCCCCCCCCCCCCCAGGACTGCCTCCTCCTCGGCTGCCAAGGGTTAAACAATACAGCTGTCCTATAGAGGGGACAGTTGCAGCTTGCATGGAGTGCAGCCCCATTAGCAGCCCCTAAAATGCAGTTTTAATATGATATCAATAGCAATTTGCTGCCCATGATTAATATCACAAGCACATCAGCAGCCCCCTATACTGGGCTGTCTTCAGACGTGATCAGAATGCAGCCACACCATTTCCCCTCTCACACAGGCCTCCTTCTTTACAGGCGGATAATTAAGGGGAAAGGGAGCAGAATGTTGTGTTGTCCAAGTGCACAGCTCCACAGTGTCTGCCACCCAGGCCCATCCCAGACAAGAGCAGAGATGGTAGCCAGCATACAATGGGCTCGTGTCAGGGTCATTATGGCACAAAGCTGTCCAAACATCAGCTGCATTTCAAATGTAAATGATCACAAAAAAAATGTCTTTCTGCAGCCTTTTCCTTGGAATGTATTTGTGTGAGCTGAGAGCACAGCCAATGTTTGGGGCTATCAATAACTGGCTGTATTGGTAATCAATAACCAATAGTGATGATTGCATTAGAAGCACACAGCTGGATGTGTGATAGCAGAAAGGCATGGTATAGTAGATCACATGTGCTGATCACTGGGCACCTTCCTAGGGAGGACACAGCCAGCCCATTGTGCTAGGCACTGCTCTTTTGTTCAGTAGCAAGGCATGCAGCTCAGCATGGTGACCCTTAGGACGTCTTGTATTCATATATAATCATTATTATTGTGGTCTGAGATATGCTGAATACTCATCACAATTATAATTATGCAGATGCTGCTTTATATGTAAATTAGTACATAGGGCACCCTTGACCTTTTTTTTTTTTTTTTAACTCTAGTACCAAATATACTGGGATTACAGCACATTGCAACGTCATCATACACTATCTTCGCACTGAATTGCATAAATAATAAATAATGTTTACATCGCTTTTATATTTTTTTTCCATAGCACTCAAGATCTTAGCCCCAGAACAATAGATGGCTGCGATTCACCAACCGGTCACTAGAGGGGGCGCGGCGATCCACAATGCACATGATGAACAATGTACAGTACCTTCAATCGATTGCAAGCTCTGAGGGTTTTTTTTAACTCCTTACGTAGGCTAAACTATAAGAGTGTATAAGTAGCAACAGAAAAAAAAAGACAAATGTTTGCACCTCTCCCCATTTATATAGGGTGTTAAAAGTGTGTTACAGTTGCATAGGATTAGTATGGAGCTGTATATCTATCTCAGCCCTGTGGTCATGCTGGGACTTATAGTTCCCTGCAAGTGGCCACTGCAGTTGCTGTGACTCCATGACCATGCAAGCAAATATCACAATTAACATGTATTACAATTCTACAAAATAGATACATAAAAGATGTGCTGACAAAGGCTCCCTAGAACTCATTTGCCCAAATGACACAATGGGGAAGATTCACTAAAACTAGAGAGTGCAAAATCTGTCGCAGCTCTGCATAGAAACCAATCAGAATCCAGGTTTTTATTGTCAAAGCCTTAATTGAACAAACTAAAATTAGAAAGTGATTGGCTACCATGCACATCTGCACTCTGCAGTTTTAGTAAATCTCTCCCACAGATCAACCACTTCATTCCTTTCCAAGTGATCTATTGATACCAAAGCCAATCATTACTATAGTTCTATAGACAGAATAGGGCAGTTTATGTGCCCACTTAGACTTGATGGCTCACAATTGCCTAGATTACACAAAGATCAAGCACTTTGCCTTCTTAAAACAGTGACATGGCCAATTCTTAGTCCATTTAAAGCCAAAACTTAACTGGTAGACCAAAATATACATTTTACATTTTATGTGTGCCTATAAAGCTCCATAGCACATCACTTGCCCAAATGACAGAACGATCCAGCCAGCAGTTATCTAATGATACTAATACCATCAATGCCATGCCTTACTATAGCTCCATAGACAGAATAAAGTGCTTTATATCTGGAGGCTTCATGGAACACAAATTCACCAATGGCACAAGCTTCAAACACTTGCCTTGCTTAGACAGCGATATTACTGATATTATATGCCAAGCATTACCAAAAGTGACTTTAATACGACACATGTGCCTACTGAATCTCCATGGCACACCATAGTCTAAATAATACCAGGCCCAACACTTGCCTTCTGTATACAAAGATACACTAGTATGAAAGCCATTGAATGCCAAGCATCACCATGGCTCTGTAAGTGCCTTTGATGTCACCTATATGCCTACCAAGACTTTATGGCACACCATTGCCCAAATGAAACAAGACTCAAACACTTGCCTTCTTTAGATAGTGATATGCTGATATTAAAGCCATTGAAAGCCAAGAATTATCGTGGACCTATAAACTTCTTTATATGCAACATATGTGCCTACTAAAGCTTCATGGCACACCATTGCCCAAATGACACAGGACTCAACCACTTTCCTTCTTTATACAATACTGTAGTATTAAAGCGACTGAATGCCAAGCATTACTATGACTCTCTAAGTGCCTTTGATGCCACCTATATGCCCATCAATACCTTAAGGCACACCAATGCCCAAATGAGACAAGGTTCAACCATTTGTCTTCTTTATACAATACACTAGTAATAAAGCTACTGAATGCCAAGCATCACCATGGCTCTGTAAGTGCCTTTGATACCACCTATATGCCTACCAAGACTTTGTGCCACACCATTGCCCAAATGACACAAAGCTCAACCATTTGCCTTCTTCATACAACTATACACTAATATTAAAGCCATTGAATGCCAAGCATTATCATGGCTCTGTAGGTGCCTTTGATACCACCTATATGCCTACCAAGACTTTGAGCCACACCAGGGGCAGACTGACAACTCATGGGGCCCCCGGGCAATATGGGATCATGGGGCCCCTGTGTCCTTGCCCAAACTCAAAAAAGCCTATGAAAAAGGTACCAGGGGCATCTCATGGGGCCCCCTACTGACCCCAGGCCCTCGGACAGTGCCTGAGTTTCCAAATGGTCAGTTTGCCCCTGTGCCACACCATTGCCCAAATGACACAAAGCTCAACCATTTGCCTTCTTCATACAACTATACACTAATATTAAAGCCATTGAATGCCAAGCATTATCATGGCTCTGTAAGTGCTTTTAATGCCACCTATATGCCTACCAAGACTTTATGGCACAGCATTGCCCAAATGACACAGGACTCAATCACCTTCCTTCCTCAGACAGAGATAAACTGATATTAAAGCCATTGAATGCCAATAATCAAAGTGCCTTTGATGCCACTCGTGCCTACTAAAAGCCTCATGGCACACTACTGCCCAATGACACAAGTCTCAACCACTTTCCTTCTTTAGATATACTGATATTAAACCCATTGAATGCCAACGACTACCATAGCTCTTTAAGTGCCTTTGATGCCACACATGTGCCCACTAAAGCCTCATGGCACACAATTGCCCAAATGACACAAGGCTCATTCACTTTAATAATTTTTGTTTGGGATTAGTAAACTAGTCTGAATCTGAATTTCCTTCTCTGGATAGCTATATATACTGATAATAAAGTCAACTGAATGCCAATAATTACCAAGTATCTTTGACGCCACATGTGCCTAATAAAGCCCCATGGCATACCATTGCCCAAATGACACACGGCTCAACCACTTTCCTTTTTTAGATATACTGATAATACACCCATTGAATGCCAATGATTACAAAGTGCCTTTGATGCATCACATATGCCTACTAAAACTTCATGGCACACCATTGCCCAAATGCCACAAGGCTCAACCACTTTCCATCTCTAGATAGCTATATGCTGATATTAAAGCCATTGAATGCCAATAAGTACCATGTGCCTACTAAAGCCTCATAGCATACCATTGCCCATTGACACAAGGATTAAGTCCTTGTCCTGTTTAGTTGCTATCTACTCCTACTTCACCAGTGCCACAACTGGTTCCAGTGGCACACTGGGCAATGTCAACATTGGCCCATTTGGTGGTCCTCCTGAAGACCCCTGGTGGTCCCAACTCACCTGCAAGCCTGAGAGCTGACATTCTTTGGAATTCAGGCTCCTGCAGCCACTTCCACATCCTCCTGAAGGTCTCCCTGCCAGATTTCAGTTTACTCCAAGGTTTGGGGTTCCTTAGAAGGTCTGAGAGGGTCCCCTGCGACCGGCACAGCACCCTCTGGGCAAAGATAGCCTGGGGGATGCTGTACCTTTTGAGTTCGGCTGTGATTCTCTGCGCCACTTCTTTGGTGTTGATCTCTTCCAACTGTCCAGAGTTGCTGAGCTGGGACCCAGAGGAGGAGGGTGGCCTGTCACGGCTGGAGGTCAACACGGGCCCGTGGGATTGAGCATGGCCTGGGTGGCCAGGGTGGTGCATCCCATTGAGGTGAGACATCATGGCAGATGGTGGGGTAGCCAGGCCCCTGGAGAGGTGCTGGTCGCCTCTTGCCAGCATGGCAGTGTGGGCATCAAAGTTTGGGCTGAGCATCTTGTCATGCCCAGGTGGTCCATAGTTGTGCAGGCTCTGTTGGCTGTTGTGGATGGAGCCCAAGCCATTGCCTAGAGGGGTGGCTGTCAAGGGGGACAAGCTCTGCCCCATCCCAGTCATGTCCTTGTAGGGGCTGTACAGGTTGTTCATGGAGGGGATCCCCCTGTCATCCCTCATCAGGGTGAAGCTACCACTGACATTGCCAGACAGGCGCTGGTGGTGGTGATGGTGGTGGTGGGGATGGTGATGGGGGTGGTGGAACTTGTCTGACACGGTGGAGATAGGGGGCAATGGCTGGAGTGGGGTTAGGGTGGTGTAGGTGCTGCTCATGCCCATCCCAGGTGGAGAGGAGTCGCAGGGCATGCTCATGGCATGGTGCAAGGGGATAGACAGCTCAGGACGGTAGTCCCCAGTCCCATCCAGGATGGAAGCCATGCTGGAGACCAT